TAAACTTACTGATTGGCTGAAATGAATGAATGCACGTGCGACTGATTGAGGGCTCGACTCCTCTTAATCTACAATTTTGATTATTAAGTCTTATTATTAGAGTTTCGATTAAAATGCAAAATAACCAATTAAATCACGAAGGACACATACGTCAAATAAAAGCATATAATTTGGTAAAAATATAAACAGATTAAAAAATATCACATCAATTTAATTAACTGCTTTCTAAATCGTGCAGCACTTAAAAGTATACTGAAATTCACTAATCAAATGCAATACCTCAATTAATATCCTAAACTCAAAACACATGTTGACATCAACTTTATCATAATTGATAAAAGCACTAATACTTACACCATCTCAAATATTCTTTAACCAAATGAAACATGCAGCAGCTTTGATAACACACACTATTAACAAAAGAAATGCGACAGCACTAAACTTTTCTCCCCCTTTTTTTTTTAAGACATTTTTTTTATCAAATCCTAACATGCCAATAAAACTTAAAACATGCTCAAAATAAATAATAATGCACAGCATATAACATCCACACGTCTCAGGCTAAAAAAATCAAGGTGAAATTGCATGAACACATAACAAAACAATAATGTCTTTATCTATTAAATTCAAGGTTAACTTTTAGGCTAGCATAACTGAAAATTAAAAGTTCTTAAACTGAACCTTAACAGCAGGCTTAATTATCAAAATGAGATCAGCAAAATTAACAATTGCAACATGAAATTTGCATGATATCATAAACACATTAAAGCCTCTTTCATTTTCATTATTTCTTAATGCCGATTTTTTTTCAACTTTTAACACCAATATAAGGCCCCAAGTTACTGAACTAACTCTGTCAATTCTCCATTTACAGCACATTAAAGACATCACATCAAATTAGCAAAGATTCATACACATAAAGCATAAAAACTCATGAAACTCAACTCATTTCTTTCTCAACTTTACGCTAAGTTAAGCATGTCCACTTAATCACCTAACAACTGGTTCTTAACATTAGTTCCGCCACATTAAGAGAGTAAAAGGGTTGAGCTTATTACCTTAAAAAAAAAGACTTAAAGAAACGGGACAAAATAAGGCTCGAACGGGCTAGGTCTCGGCTTGGTTGCTGGGTACGACTTTTCGGCTGTTGGCTGGAAAAATGTCGACCTTAGGACCTCTGAAAAGGTCCGAAACTCACCGCTGTCAATCCTCCTCTGTTCGGGTTACCCGGCGCTCACGTGAAGGCTGCTGCGGCGAGCTCTCGGTTGCTGCGGGTAAAGAAATTTTTGAGGTCTGGGGATAATTGCTTTTGTTGGCTAATATGATGAGGATAAAAATGAGGGCTGCTGATGTTAGTTTTCTGAACGTTTTAAAGAATGGATCTGAATTATGGAGTTGGGTTTTCAAACGTGGATTATAAGGCTGATGGTGGAGATAATCGTTTTGGGAGCACGTGGAGGTTGAGAAGACCGAGTCCTTAGGGATTTGTTGGAGGTGTTGTAGAGTTTTCTTTCACTTTTCTCCAAGCATGGTGTGGCTGAAAGTGTGAGGGTTTGAAGTGGCGTGACTTGGTCACTCTTTAAATTTCAAAATTGATGATAAGCTGGAGTTAGTTAAAGCCGAGACTTTAAGGTGCTAGGCTCTGTTTTGAGAACAAGTACTTTAGGACTTGGCAAAATTTCGAGACTTGGGCAAGAAAATAGAACTTAGGCCAAAATCACTAATTAGGCTCTAGAACAAAATCAGTTTAGGCTCCAAAATAGAAAATGGCCGAACTTAGCTTGAATTTTTGAAAATCTTTGGCATGCGCAACTTAGTTAACTTAGGAAAATACAATAAACGAGCACACAAATAATTAAGCGAGTTAAAGAAATAATTAAGCAATTAATAACTAAGCAATTAAACTATTAAAACAATTTAAGCATATAAACAAATAAGAAAATTAGGTAGACGAGGACATCTACTTAATTTGATTATTGGATTAATTCATTTAAATGCAAAATCGAGCTAAAAATGAAATGCAAGTGGTCTTATTCTATTATTCATAAGACGGGGCGTTACAAACCTAACCTCCTTAAAATATTTCCGTCCTCGGAAATTACATAGAAATAAAATGCATAAAAG